ATTCCAATGCCTGATTACCCTCTCTGTAAAGAATTTCTTCCTAAATATCCAACCTAAACCTCCCCTGGCAGAGTGTAAGACCGTGCCCTCTTGTTCTTTATCTTTAATCCCCTCTGAAATCAAGGGGCAGCTTGATTGCACCAAAATGCATCACCACATGCCACTTGGTATCACCACGCTACCAACATCATTGTTGGTAAGAATCCACCAGCTCTAATGTGCCAGGCTCCCATCAAAAGGGGCTTTGGGAGGAAGATGCCATGCGTTTCCTTTAACCTACAATAAAGCAAAGCAGTTCAAAGAGTTGGAAAAGGAGGTTAACAATCTCTTTGAAGTGTAGGTTCAAATTCCCAGCACAGCCCCAGTCAATTATCAGCAAGCGCTGTGACACATCTACCGCTAACAAGGAAGAGGAGGGAGGGAAGCCTGTGGTGCAGAGGTCCCGATGGGCAGTGACAGGGGTTAGAGGACATCACCACAGTGGTGGGAAAGTTTCCAGGGGTAAGACTTAGGTGTTTTTTTTTCAGGTTGATTCACTCCCCTGCTGTGCACCCAGAGTGAAGGCTGGGCCACTGGAGTGAATGGAGCCAGGAGGGAGGCAGCACATTCCCCTGCTTGAACCCCTTGCACCAGGCAAGGCTTTTTTGAGGGATGTGCAGGCACAACAGCACAGCGGGCTGCTGCTTTCTCTGGGGTGTTCCTCTGTGGCAGCATGAACCACTTTTATTTTAATCTCATTAATGAAAGGCAGTGCAGGGGTGGGGATGGGGCAGGAGGGGGGAGGGTTTGTTTTGGCGCTGAGGATGGGTGCACACAGGCATACAAATGCTAGAAGACAAAGGCTTGTCTTGTGATTAAGGGCTGGTACTCCAACTCCCTGCTTATTACAGGAAAGGATTTATCTGATGGCCTAGTTTCAGCTCCAGTTTCCCACCTTTTAATCAGGTTCCCCGGTCTGCTTGACCACTCATAAAAGGAAGGAAGAAGAAATCCCTGGGTGATGGAGCAGGAATAATGCTCTATAAACATGCATGGGGCAGAGGGTTTTGCTGCCCCAAACTTTCCCAGGAGGCAGACTCCTGGGCAGGCAGAAGGATTATGCCCAGCCATGCAGCATTATTTTCTGGCATAGCAAGAGAGCATCCATCCTTTCCTGCTTGGAAGGAAAGCCAGGGTTGTGTGAAACAAACGTGCTGGAAATAAAAACCTCCTGCAAAATGGAAAATGTACAGAGGAGCAGCTATTTTTAAAAGAGACAGCACCTACTGCTGTTATGAAGTCAGTCACATAATCAGTTAGCAAGGGACTTCTATGGGCTGACAGCTGACAGCCAGGAGAAACAGCTCCAGCAGACTGATGAGAAGAAAATGAGTTTTTGGCTTCTACAAGATGCGTGTTTTCTAATGAAGAGAAGAATTTCTGTCCTGTGCTGCCCTGGGCACAAGGTGGACGGGGGTAAGTGACCCTCAATGTCTTTCCCAATGTGCTGGAAAGAGGAGTGAGCTGCTGCTAACTCTCCAGGAGACAACATTGCAAGCAAATGCTAGCTCAGCCACCTCTTGCCCCTCCCTAACCCAGCCTGTCCTTATTGCCCAGCATTTGCTGAGGTTTTCCTGCTTCTAAAAATGTTCAGCCTCTAATTAAAATGCCCATCTTGCTTGCCAGGGCAAACGTATCCGGCCACAGAGCTGAGTTGGTTCTGGAGACAGCCAAAACTTGCAGCTAACCAACCTGTCTGGCTTTCCTGGCGCGGGTGGCTTTCCTGGCATGGGTGGCTGGTTTATGTCTGACACTAGGTGCCCATCACACCATTTTATCAAGCTGACAGCAGCTTCAGGAAGCTGGCGTGAGGGCCTCCTCAGCTTATCCAACCCTGAAGCCACCATGTGCCTTTCCTCCTCTGTGGGGTCATTAGTACTGTTTCAGATGTTCACACCCTATTGGTGAAGAGGGAACATACATGGACAATGTGGAGGTTCATGTTGCTGAGGGAGGCTCGCATGCTTCTTCCCATTCAAAGGACTTTGGAAAGGGTGTTTAAATAACAATTGAAATAATGTTTTAATTAACAACAATTAAAATAATATTTTAATTAACAATAATAGAAATAATTAATTAACAAATTTATTAAATAATGAATAAAAATCACTAGAAAAATAAGATATTAAGGCAAGGCCCCAAGGAGTACTGGGAGGGACAAGGAGCATCATATATGTGGGGCATTCACAACGAGGTAGGAAAATACAGCTTCAGACCCATAGGTCCAAGGACAGTGTCCCTCCTCAGGAGAGGAAGACATTCTCCACTGCTCTGACTGAGCCCACACCCCAGGGCAGAATGGATTCCATCCAAAAGGAGGGAGGTCTAATGGTCACAGCCTTATGGTCAACAGCAGAGGAGCTGTCATCTCTAATGGTTGGTGGTGGCTTTTCCCTACAATCCATAATAGTTCTATGAGCAATATCTGGCCTCTTCTGGTGATTTCACCTCCCAGGTTATAGTCTGACTGTACCTTGTATGCCATCCTGGAGGACAGTGCAGTTTGAGGAAGCAGATGAAGAACTAACAGCTTCTTCCAGGCAGCCTGCAGCTCTGCCTGCCTGGCTGGAAGATGCAGTTCTTCCTTCAGGCTTGGAAGGAACAGGAACGCTGCAGCTACACAGAGGCAGTCTACTCAGTGAGTCTCTGCTTGCGCCACTTTTATACACAGCATCAAGAAGTACTTAAAATTAAATTTACTATTTAAGAGCAGGAAGACCCTTCCAGAGAGGTTTCTATTTGTTCTTTAGGTACAATGGCTTTGCATGCCCTTAGCCCTCCATGCAGCAGCCCCCACTCCTCAGAGAGCACTGCTGAGACTGGATCATGTGTATCTCACTGCTGAAAGCTCTGCAGTCTGGCAGTCTGCTGCTTTCTGTGCCATGGCATCGCTTCTGCACCCATTTGCTCCCTTCCACACACACAGAACCATAGAATCCTTAAGTTTGGAAAGGACCTCTAAGATCATGGAGTCCAACCGTTAATGCAACACTGCCAAGTCCACCACTAAACCATGTCCCTAAGCACTACATCCACATGTTTTTTAACACTTCCAGGGACTTGTGTGTGGCCTCTCCCCACATCACCCATGCTACAAATCCAGCCTTTCTACACTAGCAGACCATGTCCCAGATTGGCCAAACCCACAAAGAGATCTCCACTATTTCTTACAACCTTTGGAGCAGATCCTGGAGCAGGGAATTTGTGTGACATACTCTTGTGCTGCTTCATTGCCATGCATTCCTAATTTCCTTCAAGTCAACCAATGAAGGTCTCAAGCCTTTCTGCCAGTGAAGAGCATGGTGAGCCAAACACAGTGGGACAAATCCTGCCCCCAGTTTGGAGATGCAAAACCCATGACAGTGATGAGGATAAGCAAAGCAGGGAGATAAGCTGTATTGCACTTCAGACTCAGTGACAGCTGTCACCCTCCCACCACTAAAGCAATAAATCTGGGGGATCTGGATTTATTCTCCTCCAAACCACTTTATTATATTGTGAGTAATCACAAAGTCTTACAATGCTGCAGAGGTTCTTTAAAAAAACAAACTTACACAGCGACAGTATTTGCCAGCTTTTGCTAAGACTAGTTTAGCTAGCAGCTAGCGTGAGATTATACAAGGAAATCTTGCAGTCTTCAATTGGATTGTCACATTGAGTTTTAAATTTACCACAGCACTGAAAAGACAGTAACTTTGACAGTAGGTGATACCCCTAATGTTTCATCTATGTACAGACTTAAAAAATTAAACAATTTTCTCTTTTTAAAAAAATACATTTTCTGCCAGCAGAAAAGAATTATCTTAAAAAGGCAAGATCAACTAAAAAACCCCACTTCTTTCATCACAAACTGCCCCCATCTTGCAGTGCAGTTGGTTGCTGTTCCCTTCAAGATCTCTGCCAATAAGCAGTCCCATTGCCTTTTTAAGAAAATCAATGTGTTTTCTGTGACTGTGAATGCTGGTTGAGCATTGCTAAGGCTCAGTAGAGGGGTAAAAGCCCCAACACTGAAGGAAGGGATAAAAATCCCACCCTAAATTCTCCAAAAAAATTATTGAAATGGACACAGGTGGAAATGTGAGAGACAGATTTCAGTATCCAAAGTGAGGCGTTGACTCTGACTTTTGTGGAGTCAGTGGGTTTCAACCATCCCTGAAGTCAGCTGCTTTGAGCAACAGAGTTTCCATTTGCAAAGACCATTGGGCGTGTGAGGATGAAACCTGAGCTTCTTCCAACACTCCAAAGGATAGTTGCGAGATGGGTTTATATCTGCATCACCTTTTCATCCATCTCCCTGTATCAGTTTCAAACATTGATACAAGGCTGGGTTTACAGATCAAATTGCAGGTCAGTTCTAGCAGGACCCCGTTCACAACACCCCATCCCCAGGACAGAGCATGCCAGATGTGGACCAGACCTCAGCAGTCACATCCATTGCTGCTATAAGCAAGTTGAAGGCTTCATGCATGGCCTTTAGTCATCATGAGCCTTCTTCTCCCACTTTCTCCTAGCCTGGAGGAGAAGAAGGTCCACAGGGACTCCCCTTTTCTTTGCCAGCATTTCAACAGTGGAGTAAAAAATGATCAAATCTTTGAGGACCAGGATTTTTATCAGATTTTGGTTGTCAGCCAAGTAGTTGTGTGAGAGAAAGAAAAGCCACAACTCTGGAAAAACCCCCCAAGATCTTTTATCTGATAAGCAAAGTGCTCCACGGTCACTGACATCAGTGCTAATTCTTCCCCTGGCACATTCTCAAGAGCGTTTTGGTGCTGGAAGTTGCCTCACATATGCCCAGATGAGTAGCAGATGTGGTGTTCAGATAGGGAATGTCAGAATGGAAATAACTTACTCTCATATCCTCTAGGTCTGCATCTTGGTTTGATAAGGTTGTCAAGACAAGAATCCCTGTCAAAGTTTCCTTCCTTCCAAGCTTTCCCAGAAAGGGAGGAGGGATTTTTTTCTTTTTTTCTAAGATAGGCTAGCTGATCTCTTCCCTTTGCAACCTCCTTCATTGAAGGCTGGTTCCTGGATGAGATATGGCTGTTGGCAGACCCCTCTGCTTCCCTTCCTCTGCTGCACATAATTTCTGAGCAATGGCTTGCTGAGGTTAAAAAGACAAGAGGTTGCCAAAGCTGAAACTAATTTAATTAGACATGAAAAGGATAAGGATGGAAAAACAGGGAGAAACTTGTGGGAAAAGTCCTTGACTTAGGTTTTGTTGCACACCTATGCAAATAACCTGTAAAACCCAGCACATTAGGAGCACCCTGTGTTCAGCTTTGTCTGGAAATGTTTCTTCAAGACTGAAAGTGCATGACAAAAAACAGGGTGCTGCTAATGAGGGCAACATCCAGAAGGCACATTTTGGGGAGTAATAATTAAAAAAAGGATGATGCATGGGTTTGTAAGTAAGCAGCTACAGAGCTGGTACATTTTGGTGTGTGCTTTGGAGAGCTGTAGCTTTGCTCCTACAAACATGTCTGAGGCATGAAGGTTTGCCCTAGACTGATTGTTCTACTATGGGACCTGCAGAGCAGCTTGGCCCCCATTGTCCAGCATCACTGCTCTTGGCCAACATGATGAGTGCAGGACCAAAATGCAGCAGGTAAAGTTTGGAGCCTGGAGATAACGTGGGCCAAGATCTGAGAGTTTATAAAATGCACAATCAACTAACTATTGGCATATACAAATATATAAATTATTGACAGTTTTACAAAAGGCACACTGCAAGCCATCTCAGTTTGACACCTGTACAAATTCCATGGCCCTCCACCCTCCCTGTCCCACCCCTTCTTCTCCTCAGCTTTCATCACGAAACATAAGGTGCTGCGGCTATGGACCCATGGCTGTCATGGCAACTGAGGACTTCTTTTTTGGTCAGCCCAATTTGTCGGTGGTACTGTCCTTCTTTGATAGTCTTAAGACACTGTATGTTCTTCCCCAAGGTGATGCTTTTGATGGAAGGCAGATATTTCAGCACAGTCTTTGGCAAGGACGACACACCTGTCCCAGAGAGGTTGAGCTCTTGTAGGGAGTTCAGACCAAAGATAACTTCAGCAGTCAGTGAACTCAAGTTGGGATTGTTGGATAAATCCAGAACTTGAAGGGCTGAGAGTTCCTTGAAGCTATGAGGAGATAACTTTTGAAAGCCACGCAGGCCACTGAGGGATAAATGAATCAAATCTTTCAGCCCTGTGAAGTCTCCTTTCTCAATCTTAACTAGAGGGTTCCCATCAAGATTTAAATATCGGAGAGGAATGCCTTGAAGGTTTGGCACAAATGTTAGCCTGTTTCCAGAAAGATTTAAATTCTGGATGTTGGGGATGCTCTTTTTATGGTGCCTTGTAATTGTGCTGAGCATATTATTGGATAGATCCACATTCAGGGATTTTCCTTGACCTTTTGATGCAAAAATATCCATAGCTATATCCAAGAGCTTGTTATTGCTCAAATCTATGTCACCTAGAGGAGAACTGGAGAAACAGTCTTCTGGAAGGACTTCCAAAGAGTTATGACTCAGATCTAAGGACTCCAGGTACCGAAGCCTGGAGAAGGTTGTGGAGGAAATCTTGGCAATTTTGTTGTAGCTCAGATCAAGACTCACCAGTGTGGTGTATCCAGGGCCCGTAAGCATTGATTCATTTATTGTTTCCAGTTTGTTTGATGATAGATCCAAGTAGGAGGTATCCAGAGGTATTGGGACAGGAACAATATGTGAGCCTATTCCACTGCAGTCCACCTTGGTCAAGCTAAAGCTGTCAAAGAGACCAAATGTTTCCACTTCACAGTGGCAGCCGGGGAAGCAGGTTTTGGTCGTACCAAAACAAGGAAGGAGAAGCAGCAAATTGAACCAGGCCAGGAACTGCATTGTATCTGGAAAATAAAACAATAAGAAAACAGATTAATTGCTGTAGAAATTACTTTATGGAAGATGTGTAACTCTTTGAGCTATGCATTCTTCTCTTTCTTTCCAAAGGGATAGGTTAAGAATACCCTTAAATAGCATGGATATCCCAAACACCCCAGTGGGAACTTAATGGAGAAAACAAATTGGGTCAACATATCTTTGCACATATAACCAAGTTAAGACAAAAGTGGAAATGAGCTGCAAGAACAGTAGACTGCCTTAAAGCACAATCTATCCAACATGCATCCTTTTGACAGGACCATGGAAGAAGCTAAATAACAGCTCAAATACTGAGTCATTTTACAACCTGGAAAACTTCAGCAAACAAAGGTCTTCATGTCAGAGCATCCCTGTGAGATTTGGGAGCACCGAATTCAAGACCCTGAATTGACAGGTTGGAGAAATCATTTAGACTTTGGGAGCCTTAGGTGTCCAAAAACCTTATCAGAAGAGGAACAAGCAAAGTTCCATTCAAATTTTCTGTAGGGAATAGAGATAATGGCATCATCAAAACAACATCTGGGATGAACAGCTAAAAAGGCCACCTGCTTACTGCCCAAATGGACACAATGTCTCCCTTGGTTAGACTTCAGATGCAAATTTAGAAGTTTTTAGGTAGGTACGATCATGGCTTTCTATCAGGTGGCTAAAAACAACCCTCCTTGGGCTGGTGGTAGTAGGACAGACAACAGCCCCTTGGCTCCTCACCTAGCAGAGCAGAGGAACTGAGGGTTGCTCAGTATAACCCAGACTTTGCTGTGGTGGGCTCAGCCTCCTGCACAGTGGAGGGAGACAATTTGCTTCATATAGAGCCTCTGGGGAGCCTTTGCTAATTACAATAAGTATTCTCTCTGATTAACAATGCCACCAAGCAAGAAGCTCTCTCCACCCCTCTGGTTTTGATCCTCCTCCATCCAAAACATTTCTGTCCCTCCACCATCAGAGACAATGGAGGTAGAGAGCTGATCTGCATCTCTCCAGCTCTGCTGGACATCTTCAGATCCCATCCTAACAGCTCCTTCACACAACTATGGGCAACAGCAGCTGTATGATTTCAAGAGACAGCCAAAAAAGCTTTCACTCTGCATTTCTGGAGAAGGTAAATTGGAGCATGCCAGCATCCTGAAGGTCAGCAGTGGCAGCAAGGACTGTCCTCACTGGTTCCCATTGCAGTCATGGGTGATGACTCCTAACGCCTTACAAACAAGGTCTCTAGGAGACCAGCAACAAAAAATCCCACCAAACCAGGCAAGCAGATCTGTCAGCATCAGTCCTTGGCTATGCTGCTGGCCATAAACAGACAGTCATGTGTCAAGCACTTATTTAACAAGAAAAAATTAAAAAACGCCCCTTTAAATGCATGTTCCCATCATTACTTCAGCCCCCCTGGTCTCTATTCTCACCTTTCCCACCACTCTTTAAAAGCACTTCTTTAACTTCCTTGCAGTATCATCTTTCCCACACACTCTTTGATCTGGCTGAGGCACCTTCCCCATAACCCTTGCACATTCCCAAGACCATTTCCTAGAAATTCACACTTCATCTTCCCTCACCCACCCCTTGGCATCAGTTTCTCTCCCTCTTCAGCGTGATCTTCTTGGCTCTCATTCCCAGGAGACTGACTGAGGACTACTTGCCAATATGCAAAAGAAATGCAAAGGGGAAAAAATACTGCAGAAATATTGTCCTGACCACCGATATGACTTGTCTGGCAGTGTCTCCCAGACCTCCTGCAAATAGAGAACAGAGATTGGGACTCTGGCCAAATTGCCTGCAACCAAACCACTGCTAAAGGCCAGCACGTAATCCTCTGGAGTCCATTATTCTACAGAAACAACAGAAAATCCGTAAGATGAGCCCTAGTCTCAGCCCATCTCAAATGTTTCTTGAGAAAACACATATGTGTGCAGAGGGGACACAGTGGGTAGAGCTCTTTTCTGCAGACATGTTTCCAGATATCCCTTTCCTAATGACATTAAGGTTGATCCCCTCTGGTTCTGCACAGAGACATAGCTTGCTCTCTTCTGCAGTCCCTCCTAAAACAAATACTACTCTTTTTCTTTTTTCATGAAGCTGCACTTGCAGTGCATTGAAATGTTTTGTTACCAGGGAAAGTTACAGCAGTGGGGAGCTCCTTGTAAACTAAAACTGCAAAAACTCAAATGTTAAATGACTCACGGGAAGTACCTGCATTAGTGTCAGCTCAGCCTACTGGTATTTCTTCTCCCAGATTTCACCCAGTGGCTATTCCTGCCTGATATCTCAACACGGAAAGTACCTCCCAACTTCTTCAAAAGCCCAGCTCAGTTCCTCATGGCATTGTTTTAGCTCTGATGGGAGCTGAATCACATACCAGCAAGTCCAAAGACAGACCAGTGTGATATTTGACTTTCCGAGTGCTGCTAAGGCCTTCATAATCTCCTGCTGGGGCATTTGAAGAAAGAGGACAATCTCCAAAGTCCTAGCTTAACTGGGAACAGACTTTTTAATAGAGCCTGTAGTGATAGGACAAAGGGTGCTGGTTTTAAACTAGAACAGGGATGACTCAGACTAGACGTAAGTAAGAAATCTTTTTTGATGAGTGTGGTAAAAAATTGGCACTGGTTGCCCAGAAGGGTGATAGATGCCCCATTCCTGCAAACATTCTAGGCCAGGTTGGATGGGGCTCTGAGCAACCTGATCTAGTTGAAGATGTCCATGCATATTGTGGGGGAGGTGGAGTGGATGGCTTTTAAATGGTCCCTTCCAAACCAAACTATTCTATGATTCTATGAACTGAGACAAGAATCAAAACCAGTGCTGGGCTTCGATATGTGGCTGCTCAAACCCCTTTTGACATGGGAATTCCCTTCCTGATCAGCCTCAAAAATGATTGCCAGAAGTGGGCAGATACAGTGACTCCCACTGCAACATTCATCACTCCAGCCAGCAGCAAAGATAAAACCTTACACAGCTGAAATGCAGTACACAAAGCTCAGCTGAGGTATTTGCGTAGCATATATTGCCTCTTCCCTCCTCACAGCATTTCCACAAATTCTCCCTTTCTGGCTCTGCAATTGCTTTGCAGATGGGATACAATCCATTACTACCAGTTAAAAACTCCCTTATGGAGCAGTATGAAGCATTCACAGGCTAACATGCCACTTGGTTAATAGCACTGATGAAAGATAGGAGAAATAGTTACTGGTCATCTTCCAATCCAAGAAAGAGACTCCTGCATTGCCAGATAATCAACAAAGACCTTAGTCAGGTACAGGCATGCTTTATCATTGTGTGGAGCAATCGATAGCTCTCTTTGAAATGGGGAAAGAAACATGCCCCAGGCATTTACAGTTCATCTGTGTACAGTGTGCATTTGAAACTACATCAAATTGCCTTTGGATTGCTGCCTACCAGCTGCTTTGTTGATAAAAACGGGAAGCCAAGGTATCCCCTTGTAAAAGGAAGAGGAGTTATCTTCTTGCAGCACTGGGGAGCTTCATCTGGGGGAAACACCCTGGACCAGAAACCACCAGCAGCATCACTTGGAATAGTGAGGGGAAAGTCACTGGGACAAAGCAGCCCACCCTGGGGCTGGTTCAGCGATGACATCTTCATTTGTATGGCTGTTGAGGTGTGCAGAGATCCCAGTGATAAGTTTTGGCCATCTAACAGGCCTAGGGGACTTGTTAAACCCACTGATTTCAATAGAAGCTGCGGGGGGTGCAACATCGCCCCCCATGTTTCTGGTGCCCATAGTGGCTGCAGGGCTCTGATTTTTATAACTTGCTCATCCTTTCTGCATGGCAAATGATCTGAGACAACCTCAAGGAACCAGTGGTGGTTAATGGAGCCAATGTTGGATCAAGTTCTTAGCAGGGTTCTAGCCTTCTCCCCAATCCCACATTTCTCCTTGAGCCTGCAGATGCCCTGATACCTTATCCCTGCTATGCTGATCCACTGCGACATTGTGTGGCAGGACCCATACAGAAAACTCACACTGAGATTTCTGTGCCAAAGAGCCCCCAATGTTAAAATCTGATTTTAAAACCAGACTGCAGAGGAATCCCAGGTCTTAGCTGATGGTGGAGAAAGGTGGAAGAGAGAAAAGCCTTGTTCCTTGTGTTGTTGGAAATTAATGTTTCTCATTACACTTGACCTCCTCCTTCTCCTCTCCCTTAAAGACTTTTCTCATTAGGGAGATGAGCTAACGCCTCCCTCCCTGGATGAAAACCCATTGCTTGGGGACTAGTCCCCCTCACTGGGAATGCAGATATTTGGGCTATCTCCAGTTGCCCTGGCAACCACCAAGCTGGAATTCCCTATAGCCAAAATTCAAGGAATAATTAAAAAATTATACAAGGGGAGGTGTTTTAAAGTTTGTTGTTTGATGGTGTAGGGACACAGTTGCCTCATTCTTCATTCTGCACCCCTCAGCCTCCCTGAACATGCACCTCAGCAAAGTGTCACAGCTGGAATTGGGGCTGAAGACCCAAAATCACCCAGTGAAGCTTGAGGTATATGAGTATACCTCATATATAAGAAGTGCAAAAACACCAAGTTCTCTCTACGGTGGGGTAAAGAGAAAGGAATTGTTCTAGAAGGGGATGAAACCTACTTAAGACCAGACACATTCTTGGAGATACCCTCTATCCCTTGTCCATGGCAGAATAGGGTGCCCAGTCTCCCTTGTTATTGCTTCCCACCCCATTCTTGGCTGCATCTTCCAAAGCCAAGTTCCACACAATAACCAGGTGCACTGGGATGAACTAGATCAGCTCACTCATCCAGCAAAAAACCCCTAAGCTTCCTCTTTCCCCTCTGCTGGGTCAGCATTTCAACAAATCAGGGTGATCAGCCACAGGGTTACCAGCTGTGACACAGGAGTGGGAAAAACAGGATCTGTCTTTTCCATGGCAGCCTACAGTTAGAGCAGATCAGAAATGACATGAATCTATAAGGCACGGTGGACAGATCCTGGTAATTTCCAAGGTTTTTGCCAATATTAATTCTGGATTAACAGCAAATAGAGCAACTTTCAAAGAAAAGAGGCAAAAAGGAAGGGCAGAAGTCCACCTATCTCAAATAGAGTTGTTGTTCTAGCAAAGGACAGAGAAGTTGTATTAGCAATAGTATTTCATCAGAATGAAAATTTTGGGATTGTATTCTGCCTCTTACATCAGCCAAGTAAAGAAAAAACAAAGTCTTTATAGCAAAGCTCACCAGGCTCACTTGGCTGCCAACACTAATTGGGGTCAGGGAAAAGGAATTTTACTGGAAAGTGAAACAAGTACATGGGTTATGACAGAGGCCATAAATCCTCCAGACTGGAAAAAAAAAAAAAAAAAAAAGAAGAAGAGAGAGTTGGCTCATCCTCTCTTTAAATATTGGGGAGGCTAACTGGCAGCTGGAATGGTGGCTCCAGAGCACCAGGATGTTCCAGAGTTGCTTCTTTGACAACAAAATTGCATCAGAGATCTTTCTCCCACTTCTCCACCCATTAATTATTCTGTAAAATTAGAATAATTACTGTCTAAAGTGCAGCACTAGCAGCAGCTACACTTTTCCAGTGTGGACTCTCCCAGGCTGAGCTCAAATGACACCACAGATGAAATCGTGGTTGGGTCTCCAGATCTCATATACCAATTTGAGCAAACAGCAAAACTAGCTCAAACCAGCCTACACCCAGAGACCATTAAACCCTTAACTGCAGACACACCCCCCTTCCATAATAAAGAGACTGTTTCTGACAAGGTTACTTTTTTTTTTTTTTTTTTTTTTTTTTGTGAATCCATTGAAAGTAGAGGTCACCCAGGCTTTTCCCTTATCTGCTTCAGACTGGCTCTTCCTGCAGAAAGGTTCCCCACATGTACACTGGAAAGAGTTGTATATACTCCGTCAATAAATATTATTAAACCTCACAAAGAAGCTTTGGTGTAAACTGGAATGGTGTTTTCTGACTCAATTCCTACTTTTTGTTGTTTGCTGCTTTGGAGGACACTTCGCAAGCAGTTCTGGTTTTATACTCAGTGTTTATGACTTCTTGGATTTAGGGAGAAGAAAGATAATGGGAATCCAAGAAGTATCTTCTTTTTATGTCTGATCCTGCATTTTAGATGGGTTTGAGAGAGTTCAGTGGAATTATTCTAGGTGTCAGTAACAGCAGGATGAGAATTAGTCCCTTGGCTCTTCCAAATTACACTTGATTTCATGGAGCCCTCCATCAGGAGATATTGCACAAGTCGCTTTTGGGGGATAAGTTATCACTCTTCACACTGATGGTTTTATCACTGGGTACTACAAAGCTTCTCAGACAGCAGAGCCATCCTCAGTTACCCAATATATAAAGAAGGGGATATGCAACCCTGTTTCCCTCACCAGTGCATACAAGCATTGGGATGAGGGGATACTCAGACACTGGGATGGTGGCTTTAGCCCTTATGGCTCAATGTAAAGAGACACCAAGGGCCTGAACAGGAGCTAAAAATCCTCCTGCAGGTGCCTGAACACTTTTTACTCCATCTTCCTGCTTAGTGGCAAAAATCAGAATTAAATGCAGGGAATGAGAAAGAAAAAAGAAAATATTTCTCCATGAATTTCTTTCTGCTTTAATTATTTTACCCAGACAGATCATGGAGCAGATCCTCATGGAAACTTTGCTAAGGCACATGGAAAATAAGGAGGTGATTGGTGACTGCCAACACAACTTCACTAAGGGCAAATCCAGCTGGACAAATTTCATGGCCTTCTGTGACACTGTTACAGTGTTGGTGGATGGGAGAAGAGACTGATGTTGTCTTCCTGGACTTGTGCAAAGCATTTGACACTAATCCACACAACATCCTACTCTCTTTGGAGAAACATGGATTTGGTGACGGATGACTCAGTGGACAAGGAATTGGCTGGATGGTCATACTCAAACAGTTGAAGTCAATGGCTCGGTGTCCAAGTAGAGACTAGTGAAGAGTGGAGAAGCCGGATAAAGAGAGACAAGATTCTGCTCCCAGATCTGAACAAGAACCCCACTGCTCTGCATCAGGTCTGTCTTTGCATAAGTTGAATCTCACCAAAACCCATGGAATTTGGGTTGTGGACAGCCAGAAGGGGCAAGGAACGAAAAACAAGACACCATTCCTCATTGTACCCAGACCCTAGTTATCTCCATTCACTTTTCTCCTCTCTGGACATAGAGAAATTACTGAGCCAAAAGAGCAATGATTTTTGCGCATCTGACCCGTGTTCTCCATCCTTTAGGAAGATTTTTGTAGAAGTTACAGAGGATGGAGTAGACAAGATGACCAAGGGCAAAGCCAAATTGTTGAGCATTAGAAGCTTTTCACAACCCCAAAGCCAAAACCAAACTTCCCCTCAACTCACCATGCAGGCTGCAGAGAAGACATGTAGGACTGATCTAGAGGGAACCCTACAGCTCCACACTGTGGGTCTGTTTTCAAATATAGAATCACCTAGGTTTGAAAAGATCATTGAATTCGACTGTTAACCCAGCACTGCCAAATCCACCACTAAACCATGTCCCCAAGTGCCACATCTATGCATCTTTTAAAGACTTCCAGGGATGGTGACTCGACCACTTCCCCGGGCAGCATATTCCAGTGCTTGACAACCCTCTTGGTAAAGAATTTCTCCCCAGTTTCCAGTCTAAACCTCCCCTGGTGCAACTGGAGGCTGTCTCCTCTTGTCCTATTGCTTGTTGCCTGGGAGAAGAGACTGACACCCCTGCTCAATTGAAAGTCTCTGCTCTAATTTTTTAAATGTAAAAAAAATTCCTTTATTTAATAAAGAAATGGAGAGACCTATTAAAATAATCTTTGTTTCAACTGTTAATGTCACAAATCCCATCTGCTTTGCAAGAGGTCACAGATAATTTAACATCCTAGTGTTTAAACAGCTAATAGTTTATTCCACTTGTACAAGCTTCCCCCTCCAGCATCCCTCATCCCTGAAGGAGGAAATCAAGGTGCAGGGTGGTGTATTTTGGGCTCTGACAAAAGGAAACATGTGCAGGCAGGTCTGCCAGCCCATACAGTAAGTTCCAGCTCATTTACATTCATGGCTGAAATAGAATTTCTGCCACCCTGAGAGCTGCATGCCTTGAAAAGCCACATTTTGTGAGCAAACAGCAGCCCAACTCCCAGGATTTTTGCCTTGAGTGGGAAAATTCTGGTGCTACCTCCAGCACGGGCAAATTAGGAATTAAATCACCATGGCACCAGGGTTTGCAAAAAAATTCCCTCCTCTTCTCAGCCCAGGAAGCTTTCAGGGTAACAGCAGTTTTATTCCAGGTGGAGAAATTAGCCTCCCATGGCTTTTGAAAGCAATTTTGCTCTCCAGCCTCAAGTCAGGTTGTGCTTGTACCCAGAGGGGGCATTCCTGAAAGGAAATTGTCTGCCAGACCTCCTGAGTGGTTGGGGGCAGGGGAAGGCAGGTGTTGGAGTGGTGTAGCACCTCCCAGTAACACCAGGAGGGATTCACAGGGTTTTCTGGGAGCAGACAGGATGTGAGCATCCCAGCCCCACCATTGCCTCCTGGCTATACCAGCTGCAGGACCGCTCAAACTGGGAGCATTGGCAGCCACACACTGCTTCCCAGCAGCCCGGAGTTGCACGGAATCAATCAAAGGTGCCTACAATGGATATAAGAGCTCAGGACTTGAGCTAAAATCACCTCAGCCATGACCACCCTGAATTCTTTTACCCACAACAACCCCTATTTCTCGTCCTCCCCCCTCTGCTTTTTAACTGTGAGCATTTCAAGGAACAGGAGATTTCGCTATCCTGGTACTCACTGAGTATAACAGAGACATCTCAGCCAGGAACACAAATATTTTCTTAACACACCTCAAGCTCAGCCCAAAGAGAATTTTTATCATAGTGACATGTCCCAGAACGGGAGGTCTCCATTATTTTGGCACAAACTCAGGAAGAGACCAGCCCTTCACATGGTGCTTCATAGCCAAAGGAGAGGTTTACACAGTTTTATGCCAGTCTTGATGCATATTGCTGTAGAAAGACCTGGTGAAGCTACAAACAGATCCCCCTGCCTGATCATCTCCAATACCCAAGGACTCACTGTGAGGCACAAAGGGAACCTGTGAGTACCCATGCTTTACCAAATCACAGCAGTAACCTGGGCAGGATTAAACCCTCCTTCTTAATCTTAACTAGTCAATTATTGAAAGCTAAAATGATCACAGCAAGCTTCTCCTAAAGCCTCAGTCCTTGGCGATGCACACCTGACTGTCCAGCTGGTTCCTGTGCTGTATTCTGCTACAATGATACTTTTTCCTTGCACACCAGCTCCCAGAGACATGATATAATTCCAGAGGAATGCACTCTGGGATGAACACCATATGATAGCAAGGAATGTTGAGAGGTGCAGCACAGGGAGGTGAAACCTACCCATGATGGATACTTGGTTTTAGCTGTTAAAAGAGCTGATTAGCCATGTCATTGTGCCCAGCTGGGAAATCCCACATACCAGACATGTATCCAGGGTGGCATATACAACGTTCCACCCCAGGAAAGTGTGAGTTGCAAGGACCCACCAGCAGCTATCTGGTCAATGAGGGAAAGGTGTGATGTCTATGGATGTCCCCCACATCCCTGACCTGGTTTGCTTCCAACCACCCCAGAGGGCTGATCTGAGCTGCAGGACTATGCTGCATGGGTAGACATAGATGGGTTCCCCAGGAGAAGCTAAGCTAGGCAGGGGGAAGGAAGCAAACGAGAGGAGGGATGCTGCCAAGGAGAAAGTGATATATCCCAGGGTGATGTCTCTGTCCTTTCATGGCGAGATGCATCCCTCAGGAGCAAATAGCTCAACACAGCCCCATCATCCTGTAGCTCTAATGGCTTTCCAGTTATTTTTCCTTGAATCAGAGAATTATCAAGGCTGGAAAAGACCTCCAAGATAATTGAGTTTATTGAATTAGAGGTGGCTGCAAACCAGGTGTTCAAACACTGACAGCGTGCCTTGGTCCTGGTGCATCAGCACCAGCAAAAATCATGAGAAGGCAGAGGGAAAACAAATTCACCCTGGCTGGGCAACACCTCTCGCCCTGGCAGAAGGATTTTAAGAGGACCCCATGCATCTTTAGTTTTCTGAAAGGCAGCAGCTGCCAACCTCCCTTCTAACACCCCTGCGGGGCTGCTGACTTCAATAAGGAAGGACAAAGTGAGGAGACCGGGAGTTAGGCTGGGTGCCCCTTGGCACTGCTCCAGCTGGCCCAGGCTTCTTTGTGGGCTTTTTATTTATTTTTGTGGTTGTTTTTTTTTCATGCACAATAATCTCTGGGCCCCTTTGCTGTCTGTGGCTCTCAGCGTGCAGCTGCAGACCTTCCACTGAGGAGATAATAAATACAATCCTGGCCATTATTGTTGCAAACAGCACAGCTGGAGGCTCCCATCTCATTCCCCTCATGGCCTTTCTTTGCCCCCCCTCCAACAATTCTTGCATCGTGATGCTACAAACAATGAAGGCCAGTGAAACTGCTTGGTAGAGCATCAGCTGGGGCTTCAGGAACTGCCCCCACCCCAGCAAAGCACATGAGACATTTGCTACACCTAGTGGGTCTCCTACAAGATTTGGGAAGGGGGATTTGGGGAGGGGAAGGGGATCTAGATAAAGCTGACAAAGGGTTTACTGGCAGGGCATTGTCACTTCAATGGTTCCCACCCCAGATGATGTTCCATTGCCCTAATGATGTGGTGGTGTGGTATCTCCTCAGCTCTTTTCCTCCCCTCCTTGGCCCAAGATCCTCCAATCCCTCTTGGCTGGTGCAGGATTTTGGAGAAAGATCATCTGAAGTGGGTTGGGAGAGCCATTTTCCCAGCAGGACCCATTTCTCACCACTGATGCTACCATGAGTCCTCATTTGCATGCCTCAGTTTCCCTCCTGACACCATAAGAATGACTAGCACCAGGACCAAGAGGTGTTCATTCCTGTGTGGGGATGGAGGTACCATCCCTGTGTTTAACTGGGAAGGGAGGACAAGTCAGGACAGTCTGGTCTCACCCTATGCAGACACCTCCAGGCAACACTGCCACTGCCACACCTGGTCCAGCCAAATGCTACTGCTGTCTTTGTGCACCATGTCCAGCTCCTGCCTTGTCTGGACAATCTAGGGACACCAGGCCTGCTTTGTCTTCTGTAAAATGGGCAGTCAGGCTAGGGCACAGGGAAGGAGACATCTGGGGAGGTGGTTTTGGTGGAGAAGTATTTAAGTGCCTCTTGGCACTTGGCCATCAGTGTTCATGGACTCTGAAGTATGGCTGCAGTCTCGGTGACAGCCAACAGCATGCCTGCCCCTCCAGGGACCTCTGCTCACCTATGCTGCTCACCTCCCCTGCCTCCATTCTGCCCCGATCTTTGGCCCTTGCTTTTGGTACTGCTCTGTGGCACTTCTGCCATAACATAGAGATGCTGTGAGTCATCTGGATGCAGACAACCATCTTTCTTTACCATTTAACCATGTATTAGCCACTTCCTAACCTAATTTGGTCTGATTTCACAGACAGGCAGAGTAAGACTTCCCAAATCACAGCATCCTAATACACGTTCCCCCATATGGGTTACATGGTGCTGACTCCTTGCACCCTATTCCTTCCCTCAATGCCAGGAGAGGCCACCATGCATCATGTTGTGAACACAGGAGACAGAGACATCATCATAGAACATTTGGGGATGGTCCTGAAAAGCAATGCTCTCCCCTGTTTTATGAGACTGGCCAGGTTCAGAGTTACCCTATAATCCTATAATCCTTTGAATTGGAGATCTCTTGCAAGAGGTTGCAACACTCTAGTCCTGGATAGACAGAGGGGCTGCACCTTCTGCATGAACTGAACCTTTGCACTGGGATTAAAGGGCTTTGGAGAAAGGATCTCATCCATCCTGCTCTGTGAAACTTCGCCTCACCACGCTCCCTCCTACAGACATCTCATTCTCAAGGATGGGAGGAAAATGGTCAATTTTGAGGTCAGAGATGTCTCCTGTCCCACTTGGAGACTAGTCACAAAAGCCCTACACACATGTGTCACTTCAGACATTATGGGGTTGAGGAATCACATCTAGCTTGACCTGTCTGTCACAACACAAGTTTGCCTTTAAGTCTTAATTTTTTCTGATGAGGATGATCTTATTCAAAGTAAAAAAAACCACCAAAATTCAGTAAAATTAGTCCCCATCCCTGAAAGTGTTGGCCAGGTTTGGATGGGGCTCTAAACAAGCTGATCTAGTGGAAGATTTCTCTGCCCGTGGCAGCAGGGTTGGAACTGGATGATCTTTAAGGTCCAACCCAAACCATTCTGTGATTTCTCTCCCCACTCCAGGGTTTGAGTTGCTGGCAAGAATCAGGGAAAAGGAGAGGAGTCAACATCACAGAGACACAGACTGCAAAAAACAAGCAGGACGGGAGAAAGTGGAAGGAAAAGAAATCCCACAGGTGCTGGCACTCAGATATTACAGCACATGGCCCTCTGTCAGCTACGGTGAAGATAAAGTGCTTTTTTCCAGTTTGCCACTACTCTGACATACAGATTTCCAGCCTGCTTTATGCAACTCAGGAATGTGCCATGCTAAGGCAGCCAGGTTGGTTTAATCTCTTGCAGCATTTGCTCCCCAGAGCAGAGAGGCTGAGGAAATTCCCAGAGCACATATTTCCTTCTCCCCTGCCGCACACCATACATACAATGAAAACTCCCAGGAAATTAAAAAAAAAAAATTGCAGTAAAAAAATCTCAGGGTTTTTCTCTAATGAATGGCTGTGCCGTTCATACATTTGCCTTGATAGGTTCAGGTGCCAAGTTTTAAGACAAGAAATGGCTTGCTCAAGCCAGCCTTTATCTCTTCCCTGCCCTCAACATCTCAGTGTTCGGAAGTTTCTTTTGATAGCCTGCCAAGGCAGCCAATACTGCAGTTACCGTGCAGAGCCTGGGGGTGCCAGGGGTCAGGAGGGCTGCCGGACAAGGATGCCTTGTCTTATCCCACCCTTCAGCCTCTGCTTCTCCCTATCAACCAGCTAACAAGAGAGGAGAAGGAGGAGGAGGAAGGAGGAGAGACTGAAAGAGGATAAAAAAAAGCAGTTAGGGATGGAGGGAAAACTCTAAACCTCTGAAAGATGGTGGCTCACCTTTTTTTTCCCAGCTCTGTCTAGCACTGGGGTGGCACACACGGCTGCTCACTGTGGGGCTGGGGAAGCACAGAATGTTTTTCCTATTAAAAAAAAAGCCAAAAAACTTTTGAATGTTTTTTTGTTTTACAGTTCTTTTGTCCCAATTTTCTCCCACCCATTCAATGCTGGTTAATTTCTTGAACTCAGTTTTAAAGAATAGGGATGCAAGAGAACCTCAACCCAACCCTACAGCCTTTCCTGCCAGTCCAACTTGTCATCAGAACTTAACGTCCCTGGGGATGCCTGTCATCATTCACACATTTTGTCATTGGTCCCCAATGCCTCTGACAGCAGCTGTTCAAATTCGTTCAGAAAACAGCAACGTCTCCCCTGCTCCAAGATGCCGCAAGGGAAAATCTGTCCCAGTGCTGCCACCCAACCTCCTGCCTACCCCGGTGTCAAGCATCACTCACCCGTGCACCCGCTCCAGAGATGGGAGGTGGCAGGTCCTTGTTGGACCATTTATAACCCACATGGGAGCAAGCACCGCCCACATCTTCTCTGGGACAGGGACTGGCTCCCGTGGGTCATGATAGGACATGATCCCTGCCCTGCACCAGGGCGATGGCAGACACCGACCCGGTTTGCCTGTGAGCACCTGGCTGCTGACAGCAAGCAGCCAGCCAAGTTTGGCCTGCAAATCCTCCCAGGAACATGCCAGCCTGCCTCTGGTCCTTCCAGCATCTAACACGTCCCGCGTGCTTCTTATTCCTATAGAGATCGGCGAGACACTGATCTAACTCTGCCTTTCCCCAGCACCTCTTCTCCCGGTTATTCCCTCCGCTCCTTACCGCTGCAGTAAGCCGGTGCTGCCAGCTGACCCTTGGAGCGGCGATCAATGCGATATTTCAGCGCAACGCCAGCCATCGGCACCGGCTGCTCTCTGCAGAGCAATGGCACAGTGTCCGCCCAGACAAGTTTCCTACTGTAACTTCAGTGAATGCTGTTATTCAGGCTCACGGCAGCTGATTTATCATGGCAGGCACACCGGGAAAGCTTTCCATTTGAGAGACTGGGGGCTGTTCGTCCCACTGCCGCGATGAACAGCGTGAGCTCAGCAGGGCTCGCAGCGCTCCAATGTCTTCGCTGCCACCAAATTACACTCGCTAACCGTGGTGGAGAGCGTCGGTTAACGGAGGCAATGCCACTTCCCCACGACACAAGCCACCAACTTTGTCCTCACCACCAGCTCCATCCTCACCACTCTCCTCCAAGCCTTCTCAAATACGAAGCAGGAGGACTAAAGCTGACAGACCCTTTTGTTTCCAGAGAGCTTGGCACGTGTTGTGGTTTACTGAGCTAATAAATCTGCCGTGGGCTGCGCCTTTTAATGACTGCAGCACTAATAACAAGTTTCCATGGAGCTGCTTAAAAGTTTACAGGGTGTGTGCGCTATGAGGGGAACCCCGGGCTTTCTGACCTTCTGTTTCAGAAGTCACAACCAGCAGCTTCCCTCTTTCTTTCTTTCTTCCTTTCTTCCTTTTTTTTTTTTCGATGACAGAAAGAATAAATCCTGGTCTGCTTCCTCTCCTCCCTCCCCAAACACACCTTCCCCTCCAGCTTAATCCACTTATAGAGGGGAAATTCCCAAGCAGGGAGCTTTGCCGTGCCTTTATCAATGCAATCCGGGGAGAAAAGATCCCCCCTCCGCACCTTCCAGCTTCTTCACCCTATCCAGCAGACCCCTCTGTGCTTTCCCTCCCTTCCCTTCTCTTTTCTCCCCTTACCTTGAGTAAACTGCAAAACCCTGAGAGCCTCCCAGCACCAGAACCCCAACAAAAAGCCCCCGAGAGGAGAGTGGAGGGCCGGGAAAAGAGGGGGAGGGAGAAAAAGGGAGGCAGGGAGCTCTGTGTGAAATCAAAGCCCCGAAGCCGAGCATGGGAGGCGGTGCGGAGCCTCCAGCTGCTGCTCGGATTACTCTGCAGCCGTGGCAATCCCGAGCACTCTACAAACCACCATTCCACTGGAAGAAGAGGAGAAAAGATTACAGCTGGAGAAGCTTCATGCGGGCTGGGGGCTCCTACGCACCCCTTGCATCTCAAAATTCCCCTTTGGAAAAAACAGAGGTGGAGAAAAAGTAGTTTATCTCCACCCGAGACTTCTGTCCTGCCCCCTACCCTGCTACCCCGGCCGCTGAGCCCCCACGCGAGGAATAATTCCTCACACCAAAAAAGTTTCCGCACTCTGAGGCTGGGGAGGGCTTCCCAGCAGGCACCCCCGGGGCTGGCCCTGCGCATCCCTGGGGAGGTGATAGGGAGGACTCAGCGCATTTCGATACAGATAGCTCGCCCCCTCCCCAAAGATGAGCCCCCCATGGTTCTGCACACCCGGGGAAAGGAGGGGTGGCTGGGGGGGGGGAGGGGGACGGGGACGACGGGAGGGCACGCGAGGGGCAGGGTGAGGATGGAGCGGGGCAAGGAAGCGATGGGGGCCAGGGAGGGGATGGGGGCACAAGGAGGGACTCACCGGGGCCGGGGTCGGTTCCCACCGCCGGTCCGGTTCCCACGGCGGGGCGGCCGCGCAGCGCCGGTTCCCACGGCGGGGAGCGGGCGCCGCCGGGAGCCGGCAGCAGCAAGGCTTGGGGCCAGCTGTCCCCTTCTTCCCTCCTCCTTCTCCCTTCTCCTCCTCTTCCAAGGCGTGCAGCTGGCTGGGCAAGATGACTGCCCCCTTCCCCGCAGGAGGAGGGAGGAGGGAGCTCAACAGATGGCTGCACACAAGGGAACATCTGGGAGGAGGAGGAGGAGGAGGAGAAGAAGGAGGAGGAGGAGGAGGAAGGAGGCAGGACTTGCGCTAGGCTGTGCCACTCCTGAACTGGTAGACCCCCCTTATGGGGGAAAGGAGGGGGGAGGTGTCAAGTCGGCTTTGCACACACACATACACAGACACACCCTCTGCATCCCCTCTGGACAAAATTCCTTGTTGTCCCTTTGCTTTCTTGAGAAAAGAAAGCTTACTTACTCCAGAGGTAACCTCGCAGCACAACCTTGTTTCCAGCCCTGACCTCTGCAGGGCTGTATTTGCAGGAGTGAGTCCTATTCCTGAACACTGCCTGCACCCAATTTTCCAGGCTTTTAGGGCCAAGGTCAGCTCTGGCACCCCAGGGTGCACAGTAGGATGAGGCAGCACCAAAGTTTGAGCTATGCCAGCAGGCAGGAAACTGGGGCTTATAAACTGTATGCTGCAACACCTGGAATAGAATAACACCCCCCCCCCCATCAAACAAATATTAATCCACACTTTTGGGAACAGAGAGTCTGAACTCCATCACTGGAGGATGAGCTCCCTGGGGCTTTGAAAGAGCAGCCCTTCACCAGAATTTCTTGACTATTACATGTAATGGCCTGGTGGTGGCTTGAGTCATGATTTTGATACTGGAAAGAGAATCAGAAGTCTACCTAGCGTCATACTGCTGTGACATTGGAAAAGGCAAAGGGGATTGCAAGAGACCACAGTCACAGAGGACATACCCTGTGGCTGGCTGCAGCTTCTCAAATTGCACCCCTTGTGTATTCGTGGCCTTTGCCAGGTCCCAAGCTGTGTGGTTGCTTGTTTCTTAAGAAGTTTAAGTCAAGAAGGTACAACTACGCTCCCTGTACTTACTTTTAGTAGCACTGAAATACCCGCATGCTCCATACTCACATCAGAGTTTGCTCAGATCATGACCCTCAAGCAAGTATGTTGCTGAGATTTGTGTTTAGCATCTCTTAGTGATGAAAAATTGGTAAAAAGGGGTTTTTTTTTGGCTCTGCTCAGATGCTTTCTCCAAGTATGCCACTCCATGAAGATTTGCTGGGCAACCCCCATCCCTCCCAGCGACTCCAGCTCTGATCAGAGGGAGGCTCGAGGCAGGAGATACTGGGGGTGTGAGGAAGATGTCACAGTTACTCCTCTCCACCCTCTGCATTTCCACATAAAAGTGTGGCTTATCTGCATTATGTGCTCTCTCTGTGGCCATGTCTCATGAGCTGCCTTTCGGGAATCATCATCATACCGCAAGAGCTCTACCAAGGGGCAGACCCAAGGAGCCAGAGAGAGGAAATCTCTGCTCAGGACTCAGATGACCCAAATGTTTTTGGGGAAAACCATGGGAAAACCCCTTAATCTGGGTTGTGATTTTCTATGTAAACACCACGGTGGTATCTCCAGACATGAACAGTCTCCTGCAAGAGTCCATTCAGCCGGGTCTTTGCACTGTTCACATTTTATAGCTCTGGGTAGGGGAAGTTGTTAAACTGGAAGCTTTTGTTTAGTTTTCCATTTTGTTCATTTTTTCCATGCCTCATGTTAGACCTTTACCATGTCAAAGTTGGTCTCAGTAAAGCAAAATGCCAGTTCAAAGTTGGAGAAATTGGGAATTAAATCCTGTGGCTGAGATCCAGTTAATATATACATATATGTAAAAAAGTCCAGTGTATATATGTATATATATATGCATATCTATATTTATGTATCTCTCTCTCTCTATATATATATATGCATGTGTATATATATATATATATATACACATATATATATATAAGTCCAGTAGTCAGCACTGCCAGGACTGGTGATTTGAAAGGAAGAACGGGAAAACGTGAATCTGGCTTAAAACCTCTGAATTTTGCTAAAGAAAGATCTGTAAATTTTGTTTTCTTTATTTGCAGCCTAAAATAAACAAGCAATATTTTCTGTTAGATGGGACAATTGTGTACTCAGATATTTTGTTGGTCAGGTAAAAAATAATCAGCTGAGAAATGTTCTGGCTTGAATGTCTAATGCTAAGAGAGATTTTAATAGAAGTTCCCCAGTTCAAGGGAGTTGGCCAAAATCATGACAGGGAGAGGTCTGACAATTCTGGGTGACCTGTGGATAGGGATTAGCCCTGGTGTGATGCTAACAAAAAATTAGTTATGCATCCATCTAATTCTTAGGTACTTCAAACAACAACAATGTACCAGTGTCTCACCACCATTACAATAAAGAATTTCTTCCTAACTTCTAATCTAAACCTCCCCCTGTCAGACAGTTTGAAGCCATTCACCCTTGTCCTATCACTCCATGTCCATGTCAAAAGTTCCTCTCCAGCTCTCTTATAGCCTCTTTAGGTACTGGAAGGTGCTCTAAGGTCTCTCCAGATCCTTCTCTTCTCCAGGTTGAACAACCACAACGTCCTCATCCTGTCTTAATAGCAGAAGTGCTCCAGCCTTCTGAGCATCTTCATATCCCTCCAGCACCCTCCAGCAGATCAAACAGTTAGCTATCATGATAATACCGAGGTAATTTTTAGAGGACGTTTAGTTTTAAGGTCATGTTTCCCACCATCACTATTTCTATTTCTTTGCCACATTGAAGCACATATTTGTAAAGGTAAAACAGGGTTTTCACAGAGCTATGTGTCCCATGGGCTGAACCTTTACATGCAAAACCAGCCATCCTGTATTTGGACAAATTTCCCCACCTGTCTCAGACAGTTCCCTGCCTGGGACACCAGAGGAGTGTGAAAGATGAAATGGAACTTCAATTTTATCTCTTCAAATAGGTCTGGGAACCATAAGACATCTTCCCCCAGTTAGGTCTTCCAGGGCCATGCTGAGCCTTCGTCATGTCTTCTGTTCCCAGAAGACACCAGCTCAGTTCTGTGTTTCTCAACATCTGATAGCATCATGCCTGGTTTGACTTGTTAAAATCCAGACAACTCTTAAGCCAAAGGAAAGTTATCTGAGTCACTCTGAGTTTCTCCTGAATAAATCCTAATAGACATGTCAGGCAAAAGAAGCTGCAGTGTGAATGAGGATGACATAAAATGGATTAGTAAGAAGAGCTAGTGTTGGATTTTTGCCTGATGATCTTTGAGTCCCTCCCTGAGATCTCATTTCCCTTCCTCTTATTATGCAAGCCCAGGAATGGAGGTTACTCGAGCACCAAACTGTTGGAAAAAGCCACAAAGCCAGATCAGTGCCTTGCAATCCCTAATTCTTCTCTTCTCCCCCACATGAGAATAATCCTACAGACGAAGGAGCCCTCCCTTTCTGCTGTGCAAGAAATTGCTCATAAACTCTCTCCTTTGTGGCTGAGATACGGTAGATGGCTTAGGAAGTTGTCCAAGCTTGATTGCATTTCTTACAGTTTCTCAAAAGGAAGAACTCACGGCATCAGCCAGGATGATTACTTATGGAAGGGTTTAGTTATTCCAAGGAGTTAAAAAGAATGTTGATGACAATAGTAGCAAACAACTATCACCAGTTCCCACTGGGAAAATATGAAAAAGGTAGGTCTACCTGTTTGCTCTGGGAATGTTTCCCATCCTTGTGGGAGTCCTGTAGTAACTCAGAACTAGAAGTAGAGATTTTTTTGAACTCCTGTAACACGTAAGACTTAAACAAACAAGCACCTGCATCTGTGGTTTTCGTTTTATTCAGAGGAGCTTGGCAATCTTGGATACACATTGCACTCTACTGTGTACTGCCTTTGTCAAAAATACAGATTGTTCTGTAGGTTCATCCTCACCCTTTGTCGCTGGACCACGTCTTATGGATGGGAGCCCACCTGACAGTAACTGACTGCAGACAACTCACTTGTCCTGTATTGACCAATGGACTGGTATGGAAAATTGTGTCACTGCTTTGCTCAACACGTTGATTGTATCTTTACTGACTGGGAGCCAGCAGGAAAAATACA